TGATAAAATATTTATTACACTAATCGAATGAATAGGATCTCATGTGCTTATAAATACATATGTTTGATGGCAGCTCCATTAGTTACAATTATATTTTTGAACTTTGTCAGGAATTCAAGCTCACTGAGCGTTGAAGGGTCTTCACAGCGCTTTAGTGGCCTCATTTGAAAGCAATTTGTGCACGCTTGATGTGATTTCACAATTATGTATATGGGTAACGTTTGAACCAAATATGGTTCGACTCGATGCGATTGAATGCATTTAGTTGTAACCCTATGACGGCACACTAAAGCACAGCTATGTCGTGGTCTCGTGCAGCCGTTGGCGATAAACGCCGGATGAAGCAATAAAAGGTCATTTTCGGGAAACGTGTCAATAGAATAAAATGCGTAAATGCGTAAAATGTCTTCCGGAGCTTGACTAATATCGCCGCCGGTAGAGACACAAACAAAAATCTAAAAGTGACGACTATACTCTAGGCCGCTTTAAATATGTACATGCATACATACATATATATAGTTATTTATTTAGTAAGTATAGAGGAAATTTTAAAGATACACCATCCCCTGGGTATTTGTTTGAAAAATTTATTGAAAATACTGTCGGCTTGATATACATGTTCAAATGTATGTGTGTTAGTACTAATTTATTTTCTTTGTTGGCATTTTCCTTATTCCCTCATCAATATAAAATGTGGCGACGTGTTTTGTTTGGAAATTTAAATGTAATTTTGTAAATACCAAAAGCAACAGTAAGCAAAGAGTACGAAACAACCCCACCCACATGACGAAGGGCAACAACAGAGGCGTATGAAGTGCAAAGAGCATATGCAGCAAAGAATGCGACCACAAGAGGGCGAGCATGAAGTTGGAATATGTGGATGCAAAAATAATTTTTAAATGTTCATTTATGTACATGTGTATGTATGTCTATTTAGGTATGTACATAAGATTTTTAAATATATGTTTTTAATACATGTTTGTTTATGTATATTATATTTTCTTTTATCTTGCATGTATGTAAATGTAAGTCCATATAAATATACAACAGTATTAACGCAATGCCATGAGTGGTTGTATATTTACCACCAAAGCAGGCTTCTTGTTTGAAGTTAATAATAAATCATACAATTAAACGAGTTACTGACGATCATAACTTCAAAATCAATGGAAGAAAAATCAGATGTCAGCGACTAATTAAGATTTATGTAAGCAAAAAAATGTTTCTAGGAAATTGAATGTGTATATTTACGAATGTAAAAAGCCGAAAAAATATTAATTTTATGGGTATTTTATTGTACACAGAAGAGGGTGTTTTTAGTTTGACACGAAGCTTGCAACACCAAAAAGGAATCGTCGGATACCCTACAAGGTATTTCAATTTATTTGACAAAATATCTTACTGAATTTTCGCAAGGGTTACTTTTCAAGTTAACGCCACTATACTAGATTAAATTTTTCGGATCGAATTACTATAGCATGCCAAAACCACTGACATCGAAATCACGTTCTTGTATATACATTTTTATACTCTCGCAACAAAGTTGCTAAAGAGAGTATTATAGTTTTGTTCACATAACGGTTGTTTGTAARTCCTAAAACTAAAAGAGTCAGATATAGGGTTATRTATACCAAAGTGATCAGGGTGACGAGTAGAGTTGAAATCCGGATGTCTGTCTGTCCGTCCGTCCGTCCATGCAAGCTGTAACTTGAGTAAAAATTGAGATATCATGATGAAACTTGGTGTACGTATTTCCTGGCCCCATAAGAAGGTTAAGTTCGAAGATGGGCAAAATCGGCCCACTGCCAGGTCCACAAAATGACGAAAACCGAAAACATATAAAGTGTCATAACTAAGCCATAAATAAAGGTATTAAAGTGAAATTTGGCACAAAGGATCGCATTAGGGAGGAGCATACTTGGACGTAATTTTTTTGGAAAAGTGGGCGTGGCCCCGCCCAATACTAAGTTTTTTGTACATATATCGGAAACTACTATAGCTATGTTAACCAAACTCTACAGAGTTGTTTCATTCAGGCATTTCCATATACAGTTCAAAAACGGTAGTGCGTTAACCGACTAACAAAAAACGTCAGAAACACTAAATTTTACGGAAAAAATTTCAGAAAGAAGCTGCACCCAGGCTTTATTTAAAAATTGAAAATGGGCGTGGCGTCGCCCACTTATGGACCAAAAACCATATCTCAGTAACTACTCGACCGATTTCAATGAAATTCGGTATATAATAGTTCCTTAACACCCTGATGACATGTACGAAATATGGGTAAAATCGGTTCACAACCACGCTTTCTTCCAATATAACGCTATTTTGAATTCCATCTGATGCCTTCTCTGTATAATATATACATTAGGAACCACTGATGATAGCGGAATAAAACTTTACACAAATACGGTATTTGATGCGAGAGTATAAAATGTTCGGTGACACCCGAACTTAGCCCTTCCTTACTTGTTTTTTATTTGTGTAGGGTGGTCTAGCAAGGGTGCAAGCTAACATTTTTTTATTCTTTTAAATTACTTATATTAACAGTTTATTCTAATAATTGGGTATAATTTTTATTAAAATATTTGAAATTATATTTACACAGCTATTTTTGCATATAAGGATATTGTTAAAATTGTTTGAGACATTAACATCATGTAATCTTTTGAAAAGCACCCACGCGTTTAATAAATGTACATATGTACATATATATATTATGTACGTACTTGTAGCAACCTTCAATGGCAGCCAGCTAACCCGGCAAGAGGCATTCAAACAATGGTGGTGCAACTACGGCCGGCAAACATATTTAACAGCTGCTAGCAAAAAATCCACCCTACTTTATAATAAACAATAGACACAATATGCCACCCGCATAAAAGCTGTGGAAAAAATGCAGCATTTAGTTATCCATATAAAGAGGAGCGAAAGTCGCAAATATAAAATAGAAAGTAACATGAACACAGGAGACAATAAGAATTACAATAAAATGTAGCTAAATGCGTTTGTTTGTTCATTTATACATATATACATACATATTTACAAGTACAATGCACCTACATCCCATTATGTAAATAGTACCTAGAGTATTTATTTTACTTGCATATACATATGTACGTATTAAAGCCAGACCGGCAGGAAACTTACCATTATGTTCTGTGAAAATGTTCATTCCGATGGCATTGCAACGGCTGTGATTGTCCTTAGATGTATGTCCAATGCTACTACCCGAAGCGGTAGTCGAACGATGTGAACTCCCACCCACAGATGCTGGTGTAGCTGATGATTTGATGCGGGAACCGCGCAAGGTGGAACCAGCAGCTAGTGCATTTACACTGCCAACACTAATGCCATGAGACGACGACAAGCCGACTGGGCTGCCACTGCTTGGCACACCAATACAACTGGCCGTGCCGCCATGACCACCGCCGCTGGAATGTGAACCGCGCTCCTTTCCCTGCTGTGCGCCCATATTGCCAGCTTAGTAACTATATCGAGGGAAAAGTATACGCTTTAAGCTTGATTTCGATCCTTAGCGGTCAAACACTTTAGTTCAGTTTCAGACAAATGGGAAACCGTAGCTCAGGGATTTAACTAATTGCGCGTGTGCACGAGACCCAAAAATTTTAGCTTCCGAAACCGAAATTAGTGCGATTCCGGTGAACAGGGCACAAACCGCAAACGGAAGTCCGACGTTTTTTATAATTTCCTCTACACGTATATAACTTCCGGCATTTATATAATACGATTGTATATTTCTACTTTTACCTTACATACATTTTTGGTTTTATATTATGTATACAAATTTCCCTTTAATATAAGGATTTCTTACACATTTTTATTATGCACTCACTTTCCACTACTCTACGCTTTTTTCAATTCGCCTTTTCTACGTTACTTCGCACTTTGTAGTAGACATAAAATGCCTATAAAAGGGAAGTTGCAATTATTTTTCTTCTCTACTTTGCGCAACTCCCCATTTAGCGGCGCTAATATTTGTTTTATTGCCTTTTTTAAGAGATAAACAATTCTGATTAGAAAAATTAACATCGATTTTATGGGTATATTTATATTTTGCATTAGCTCTTTAAATTATATACTGAAAATACTGTATCGTTATCGGCGGCGACGCGTATAAGAAAACACGCCCTACCTGAATGCAAGTGCAACTTGTCTGCACCCAACCTCTTTTTAACACAAGTTTTATTGCTATGTACCAAAATCTTGACTTTGGATTATAGAGACTTTAGAACAAATGGGTATTTTTCACTACAATTTTCTTGTAATATAAATTTCACTGTAGGTTTTATGTATTTTACGTTTGTAAAGGCCTACAAACTCATTTGTGTACGAAACTTTTTACATTGCAAACATTTTCGAATGTTACACTTGCACTTTAATCTACGCTCGGAAGCACTGCATGGGAACGTTCCCGCACAAGCCGAAAAAATCGTGCTATAAATAGCAAAAAATTTGCTTTTAAAGTTACTCGCTTTTTTCAATTATATCAATAGAATTTATAATGTTTAATTGAGGCTTCACAAAAATTTTATATGCAGCGATTATGAAAATCGTCTGCTTCAACTCGTCGTTCTTCGTCGTTTGAAACAATTTTCCAATTTCACTTTGTCCAAATGTTTCACAGTGCATTCAAAGATACATCACAAATGTTATATACTTATCCCGCTCTTTCAAAAGAATGTCATCAAAACAAACCGCAAAACCACACGGTTGAATTTGGAAATATTTAGTAAAACTAATATTCGAAATTTGTTTGCAAACAATCTACAAAACAAGAAATTTAAAAATTGTATTAGGAAGTGACAGATATTTTAAGATTTAATTAATTATCTTCAATAAAACAAATTATCGATTTCGAATTTTTTAAACCATTATACGAATTTTGCAAAAATAATTCGATTCGATTACTTTTCGATCATATATCTCTGGACCGCATGCACAAATTAGTATATTGACCTGGCAATATTGAAACGAAAAATCACACGAAATAAACTGTCAAACGAAAAAGTAGCTAAATTTCGTCACATATAATTCGGATTTTTCTGGAATCGAAAAATACTTTATTAATAGAGAGTTTTGAAATAAATCTATATAAACAATTTGTTATTTCCTATCAAAAGTGTAAGTAACATAAAGCTGACCAAATTTCCTACATGCTAACTTTTTAAACTGCTTCTTTTAATCAACATATGTAGAACATTCAGAAACAATAAATTCAAGTAGATATTTCGGMACATATATCTCAATTTATAGGAGCTTTAAGTTTGAGGAAAACAATCGATTTTACTTAACGTTATAATAGAAAAAAAAGAAGATGTCTGATTGGGACACAGTTACTGTTCTGCGCAAGAAGGCGCCCAAAGGCAGTGCGGCTAAATCAGAAACAGTGGTTAATCATGCCAGACGACAAGGAGTACCCGTGGAAACAACACAAAAATGTGAGTTAAATGGTTATAAAGACACGTCTTCAGTGAGTCGGTGGCACAGTTTTCTAATTAAATATTTACATAAACCGATTTGTGCAAAAAGCACAAGTTTTACGCAATTGTATAGATGAGGTGTCCGATATACATATGTATATTTAGAGGTATAACTGAATATGGAAGCTAAAACATGTGTGTGTGTTTCTATGTATATACGTATGTTCATTGCAGTTGCCGAGTAGTTTCCGGGCGTTAAGTGTTATTGTTTTGATCTATCTCGCGTAGCATGCTTCCAATTTCACAATACTTGCACTTCAACTTCGTGATTTTCATCATCGTATATAATTGCAAGTTAAAATGTCATAAGATACTGCTATAGCACTGCTCTCGACTGCCACACTTTATCGCACTTATATTTCGTGTGTGGTAGACAAATCGAACTGTCAAATGCAATAGTGGGCATGATATTTATATCATGTTTATTTTTATGCAGGCTAATTTTGCCTCCATATTTTTATTATTATGAATTATATTATGTGCAAAAGATTTATTTATTTTAATTTAAAAAAATTTTTTTTTTAAATCGAATCTAAAAAAATATTTCTATAAAATGTGTTTGTGTGGAGCGTTGCAGAAATAATGCAAAAAACAGCCATTCCAGCTGACAGGGCGATTGTAGTTGTAGCAGCATAAATACAGTATTTGTTAGAATCATTCCATGTTCCCTTCTTTATATTAGATGGTGCGGGCACCAACAAGCAACATATAACCACAAAAAACACTGCCAAACTGGATCGTGAGACTGAAGAGTTAAAACATGACAAAATTCCATTAGACGTTGGCAAATTAATAATGCAGGGTCGTCAGTCGAAAGGTCTTAGTCAGAAGGATTTGGCAACTGTGAGTACAAGTAACTACGTAATGGCCTCAAGTAATTTTAACAAAAATATTTTCCTTCATATAGAAAATTTGTGAAAAACAACAAGTCGTCACGGATTATGAAGCGGGCCGCGGCATTCCTAATAACTTAATTTTGGGCAAGATTGAACGTGTGATTGGCATAAAATTACGTGGAAAAGATCGCGGCCAACCGCTGCAGCCTCCCGGTAAGAAATGAGTTGACAATGCGGCTGCAAGTGGCAACGCTAGTAGTAACAAACCAAAAAACAACATCCATTAAACGCATATCGCAACAGCAACCATTGTAAACGCTAATGTAAATGCAAATATGAATGCCACTAACTTTCATGCCATAAACAACTGAAACGCTTACGACACCAGCGGCAAACGCAAGTAAAATTATCGGGAGGCTGAGAAGTTTTTTCTTCCTAACGGAAGCAACACTCTTGTCAAGGAGCAGTTTTTCAATTTCATATGATCATACACATACATAAAACACATTTTTATTTGATTTAATTTTTTGTTTTCAAATTCGAATCTAATATATTCTGCTTTCAGCAGCATCATCATGAGCAGCCCTTTAACATCAAACAATACAAACCAGAGTAGAGCAGAATAAATAACAAAATGGAAACTGTAAACATGAAATGTTCATACAATTTATGTGCAACTACACATAAATTTTGAGCTCACACCACTTCATATTAAAAAGCCCAAATTTTTAGCAAAATACTAAGATTATGAAATGATAATGAATATTTATAAAAACAAAAAAACAATATAAAGATTTTTACATTAAACTTCAATCATGCTCAAAACTTAAATGTAGTTTATAAACTATGCTGGATATTACAACTGATCTATAAACATACATACATCCGTCGTTAATTATAATATTTCTTACTATTACGAAGTAATGAAATTTAAAGCTGAACTTGAATGATGTTATCAAAGATTTTTATTAATAAAACGATATTTAAGGTCTCGAAGTGATTTCTACGAAATTCGGAAAATATGGACGTGTTAAGATTTGTATGCAATATACATAAATTGTTTTTGTTTTTTAGATGTTTGCTTCATATATGTAAATATATGTGTACACAAAGTGCAACCGCCACAATTTTGTAATTTCCTTTCGGTTTAGGTCTCCACATAGTAGCATAGGCATACTTTTATAGACTGTTAGATACCCACTGCCGCCACGAGATTTTATTAGAACTGGGATGTGAGGTATTAACATAGAGTAACTAACTCAATGCCAAAATTCTTCATTCCCAATTTGGCGAACACAATTTCGGTAAACTCCACTGGCCTGACAAGTTTACTATTGCAGTTATGGTACACGTAGTTATAAATCGCGTGCGGAATAATAACAATTAATTGGTCCCTCTTAGCTTAGCATTTTTTTAATTCTTTTGTAATAGCATGAAGTGATGCGTTTTTACATATCGTCGGTGTAATGGATACGTTCTGCTAAATTATAAATTTTTTACATCTACTCCACTGCACTAAGGATATGTGGCTCCTAATAATATAATCTCAAGATTATCGCCCACTTAACATTACACAACTCGCAACATGTAATAATCGGTGCGCTACACAGATATAGAAGACAACAATAACCAAAAATATTAAACTTAATTCTTCCTTATGTATACCAAACTATGGTCAATATAAAAATCAATTGATTAAATATATTGTATATGAATGTAGTAGTTTGTATACCCATAATAATATACACACGCAATGAGCAATAATTATATAATAGATGTTTTATGGTTTAAATCAAAGAAATAAAGTAAAATTTAATGAGAAATGTATTGTTTTTGTTAATAGGTATTGAAATGGGTTTTACCAACTAATGATACTAAGAAATGCTAATGAATTGTACTCGTATTACTGAACCTTACTTTCTGAAATAATTGGTACATGCTTTTAGGCGTTTTTTTCTGGTGAAAGAATTCTTCTGAGTACAAAGTTTTGTTGGCAAGACACTAACTGAAAATCGGTAGGATTTCTTATTTTGGAATGATTGTAATATTATTTGAGAGGTTAATTTAGTGTATTCGGAAATTATTCCAACGAAGACACGATTATAACAGCACCCACGAGTGTTGGGTAACCGGAAGATTGGTTTGCAACCGTCCAACTGTGACAGCCTCAACAGCATTAACCAACATTTTTAATAATACATATTTTATGATGCTTAAATGAACACAAAATTTTATTACAACTGTTTACTAGGGTTGAGATTTTTTTATGTAACAATTTTGGATTTAGAAATAGGATTTTCGATTTTTAAGCCAGTTTTTCCAACCATCACAGTTTTTCGCAAAATCGGATTGAAAAATTTGATTTTTAACAAGAGTGCCAACGCAAAAAAATTAATATCCTAACGAAATATTTTTTATAAGCTTGTTCTAAATGTGTTGTTTTCAATCCGTTATTTGGCATTAAAAATTGAAAGCAAAAGTATAAAATTTTTGAGACAAATATTTTTTCCTTTTGCGGTATTAGAGGTCAAAAGTTTTAAGATATTTGTATTAAATTTTTTGCGATTACAAAACAAAAAAATCTAATTCAAAAGTTAATCAAAAAATCTTTTCGATGCATTATTTGGAACTCTGGAGCTTACTTACCGTAGGATTTTGTTAAAACAAAGAGCTAATGGTTTTTTGTTGTTGGTTTATTTCTTACATAAATCCGTGTTACATTACCATTTTTTAAATAATTTTATTTACTTATTTATATTTACTTCATATATATTTATATTTGTTTGTTCGCTTGTAAAAATAAGAAATAAAAATATTTGCGCTTTTTTTTACATTTTTCTTCTTTGTCTGCTCTATAGCATTTAAACAGCTTACTAAAAAAGTAAGTATGTATGTATGTAGTGATTTCATTTACGTTTCCTTTTATATATTATATCTGTTTTTGCTTAGTTTTCTTTGTATGTGACTTTTACCGGTTGTTTCTTTATGTATTTTTTTTTTAATTTTGTATTTTAGTTATGCTTTTAACATAAATACATAAAAAATATAACTTAAATATTTTAGCATAGTATGGTTATTAAACAAATATTGTAACCCACCCACAAAAATATTAGTTTAGTTTATAACTTTATAAAAAAGTAAATAAAAGTCTATATTACATGTAGCTATATGTATGTTTAGCAAATCAAATAAAAAGCTAAATCAAATATAAATAACTGTCTTCTTCAGTGACGCTTTAAGCGTTGTGTCGTTTGGAATTTGGAAAATTTCGAAATGTTTTTGTTTAATTTCCATTGTAGTGTTTTTAATGCTTTTGTGTGTCAATGGACGCAAGTATAAAATAATATTTTAAATTTTGTTACATATAAATTTGTTTTCTATTTTAATTTGGCTGTAAATTAAAGTATTTTTTTAATTGTTAAATATATGTAATTTTCTAACTTATTGTATTAGCTAATAGCATAGCGTTTTTGTTTTATTTTTATTTGTTTTTTGTATTCATTTGGCAACAGCTTTATAATTTTTTTTGTTTTTGCTTTATTTTACAATAATTCATTGCACTGTGTGCTTTCGTTTGCCTTTTTGTTTTCTTTTTTTTTTTTGCATTTTTCCTAATTGATGGTACGCTCTGTGCTGAACACGCTATATTTGGATTTTAATTGCTACTTAAAGAAAAAATTTTAACTTTTA